TACAATATTACACAAACCTTAACAATATAGGATTGTTTTGAGCTGTAAGTTCAAATGGAAGATTTTATTTTTATTAATAATATTGATTTTTTCCAATCCTTCCCTTAATAAGCTTTGATCCAAAATAAATAAATAAATAATAATAATAATAATAATAATAATAATAATAATAATAATAATAATAATTATTATTATTATTATTATTATTATTATTATTATTATTATTATTATTATTATTATTATTATTATTATTATTCAATAATAGTCAGGGCACTGCTTCATGTTTATTAAGTTACTAGTTTTTTACGCGCATTGTGTGATTAGGATAATGCCTAATGTTTTTTTTTTAATAAGTACTTTAAAGTATATCAAGACAAGATTATATTGGAATTGTTCATGCATAGATAATTGAATTTTAAATTTACGTATTTAAATAGACAATTCTAAGTTTACAAATGCAAGATAATATAGTCAAGATTGATTATAATTGTCAATAAAATAATTGTATAGGTATTGTTGAAATCAAATACGGGACATACGGGAGAGCAAATAAAAATTAGGGCATAAAATATTAAATATATACTAATATTGAAGAGCTAACTGTTGATTGCCAAATAAGGACATTGCGAGATAGTTTCCCACTTCAATTTGTTGTGTGAGTTAATACTCTTTTTGTCCATAAATCCCCCAAGTATTTAATATGATTGGCTTAATTATATTTTTTATTTTTTTTAAAAACAATTATTATTATTATTATTATTATTATTATTATTATTATTATTATTATTATTATTATTATTATTTAATATATGTATACCCTTAAGTCATTTTACATGTTAATCTAAACAGCTAATTTTTTAAAATATCTTTTTACTAACCGTTGATATAATTCGCTGGTCAAATTTGCTAATATAATCTGCTAACCCTAACCGCTAACTGTTGATTATCAAACAAGGACATTGCGAGGTAGTTCTCACTTCAATTTGTTGTGTGATTTGAATACTCTCTTTGTCAACAAATCCCTCAAGTAGTTAATATTTTTTTTTTTTTTTGAGAATCCTCAAGTAGTTAATATGATTGGCTTTATTAATTATATTTTTTAAATTTTTTCATGGTATTAATAAAATACTTGGTAAATAAATATATAGCATTATTTTGTATTATAACTTTGATATTTAATTAAAAAATAGTGCAAAAAAAATATAATAGACAATGTAGTGAATATAATCAATTGATGAATTTGAATGTAAAGAATTTTTACATTGGAGAAATATAAAGACAATATAACTAATAAAATTATTTCTCTTAATTAATTTATTGATAATGAATAATTTTTTTTTTTTAATAAAGACATTGTAGGGACAATGTATCGAATATAATCAATTGATGAATTTGAATGTAAAGAATTTTTATATTGGAGAAAAATAAATACAATATAACTAATAAAATTATTTCTCTTATTTAATTTATTGATAATGAATATTTTTTTTTTAATAAAGACATTGTAGACACATAATTCTAAATTAAAGAAATGCATATGTATTACTTTTTGTTGTAGCTACTAAATCATTATTTAATTTAATAAGAGTAAAATAGAGTACTAATTATGCCAACTTTGATTGGGATGTGGTTCGAACCTAAGACCTTTTTTATGGAAATCGATGAATAAGTTAACGGTAAACTAACAGAAATTAACGGAAAAGATAATATTTAACGGAAAAGTTAAAGGATAATCATATTCATTAAGGATAAATTAGGAAATATAAAGGAAAAATTAAAATCTGATCAATCTGAGATATTCATTTGATTAAAAAATTTGACCGCCATTTTTTCTACCCATTATAGGTCTTAACTCTCTTGGGCTTTTATTAGTATAGTAGACTAGTATAAATTATTACAAAATTATCGAAGCAATATACTAAAAATATTTAAAAGAATTTGAAACAAAAAATATTAATTAATATGGTATCATTTAGAATACCTCAACGAAATATGTTTAATAATATATTTTTTATATATTGATTGTATTTATATAAACAAAATATAGAAAAATATATTTAAGTAATAATTTAAAAATTATGCCATTTTAATGAACTTCCTGTATCGTTATGAGACCCCGAGGTCCTTTCTATTGAGAAGGTTTGAGCCCAAAAAAAGTGAACGAGAGGTCTTGTCGGACCTAGAGTCCAGCCTTTAGCCCGAGAGATAGCTAATGTCATCAATGAATGAGTTGCTCAGCAGTAGTGGACACAACCCAATCCGACTAGCAGCCAGTTAGTAATCTAGCAAATTCCCTCCAACTTGACTTAGCACTCCACGAGCTAGGAGGGGGCACCACCAGGGACGGGGCCCCAAAGTAGGGGGTCCAATGTTAAGATAAGGGGATCTCCGAGGGAGGAGTCAAAGCTGCCAATGCACTGATTGCACCCTGACCGTATATGATAACACTGATTGCACCTTGACCATAAGGGGCTCCCAAGCTGCCAATGCATGTAGCAAAACACGGATAGCTCCTCCTGAAAAATGGGTTAACAGGATGAATGCTAAAATTAAAGAGCTAGTTCAGTGAAAGGAACAAGTTAATTTACTAGAAATTTGTGATCACCCCACCCTTCACATTAAAGATTATGAATGAATCCTCACTCTTAATTGAAGCAACCTAGTATCAAAAAGGTTTTGATAGGATAGGAGACCTCCATGAGCATATAATCTTCTATATATTTTAGGAATAAGGGTTAAATAGGCCATCGAACTGCACCCGATAAAACAATTAGGCCATTGAACTTAAAAAACCAACAATTAGGTCCCTAAACTAATCAATTTCAAACAATTTTTCAATTTGAAGGTTTCCAACAGGTCAACAGGTCATCCTTCCAAATTAATTATTTTTTACAATTTAAATTTTAAAAATTAATTAGTTTTAAATTAAACTTAAAAAAAAAAAAAAAAAAAAAAAAAAAAAAAAAAAAACTGGTTCCGGCGTCTCCGGCTGGATTCTAATTTTTTTTTTTTTTAGTTTAATTTAAAACTAATTAATTTTTAAAATTTATTTTTTAAAAAAATAATTAATTTGGGAGATGACCTGTTGGAAACTTTCAAATTGGAATAATTGTTTGAAATTGATTAGTTTAGGGACCTAATTGTTGGTTTTTTAGGTTCAGTGGCCTAATTGTTTTATTGTGTTCAGTTCGATGACTTATTTGACCCTTATTCCTATATTTTATTATATAAATTTTGTAAACGGTTAAATTAATATATATATATATATATATATATATATATATATATATATATATAGAATATTATAATTTTCTTCAACATTATAATCTTCTTCAATTTCGATGCCATTCATTGGTACTTTTAGTTGTATGCAGTCCAACAACTAGAAAAGGCAAATAATTAAACAATAAGTCTATGCCAATGTGTGTATTTTATATTATTTTATAAAGGGAAAAACATTTTGCGATATTTGTTTTTATAAAAAAAAAATAGAATATTGAAGTCATTATGAGTATTCTTTAAAAACTTTTACATAATCAAATCTCATATATTATATCAAGCAAACCCTACACAAGGCAAATTTTATATATGAGTTAATTTCATTTTTGGTTCTAGATTTATAGATGGATAGTCTACTTTTAATCCTTTTTTATTCAAACATTCCCTTTTGGTCCTAGTATTATTATGACATGACCAATTTTGGTCCTCTATCAAAAAAATCGTTGAAATTTTGTTAAATAGATGGACATTTCGATCTTCAATTATGAATTTTTTCAAAAAAAAAAAAAACATAAAAAATATAACAAGTCAATGCACTTTGTATTAAAAAAATCAAAATGTCTTTCTATTTAACGAAATTTTAACGATTTTGTTGATAGATGACCAGAATTGGTCATGTCACAATAATACTAGGACCAAATAGGATGTTCTGATAAAAATGGACTAAAAGTGAACTGTCACATATAAATCTAGAACAAAAAATGGAATTAACTCTTTATATATAGATACATATATATACATACATACATATATATATATATATATATATATATATATATATATATATATATATATATATATATATATATATATATTATCAGGTTCCTATGAGAACAAGACTTCCTGTGCAGTACACGGTCGGTGCGGTTTGCACCATTAGATATGCATAAATGCACCATAAACTGTCTGAAAATACATCATTATTTGTGGTGCGTTTTTTTTTAGTGTGTGGTGCATTTATGCATACCTAATGGTGCAAATCACACCGACCGTACGGAAAATTTCCTGTTCTCATTTGAACATATACATATATATATATATATATATATATATATATATATATATATATATATATATATATATATATATATATATATATATATATATACGGTTCAAATGCGGATGGTATGCTCAGGTGCGAACGTGCGGTGAGATAAGAGCCATTGACATTGTCAAAATCAACGTCCAGGATTAACAAGAATTAAAAAAAAAAAAAGAAAAAAACGCCTTGTCAATTTTGTCTTTTTGTATCTATAGGTCAAATTTAAGATGCGTGGTTTTCCTTCTTAAGGGTGCGTGATTTTTTTGTGCTTAAGGTGAGTGGTTTTTGTGTTGTATGCTAATGGTGTGTCAGTTGTTGAAACTTAAGTGTGTCAGTCTAAAGCTTTAGGTACATGATTTTCCTTCTTAAAGTGCGTGATTTGTGTGCTTAAGGTGCTAAGTTGTTGGAACTTAAGGTGCGTTGGCCTAAAGCTTTAGGTGCGTTATTTTCCTTCTTAAAGTGCGTTGTTTGCCTTCTTAAGGTGCGTTGTTTTCATTCTTAAGAAAGGGATAAGGGTCAAATAGGCCCCTTTACTACTCAAGAAAGTTCAATTAGCACATTGAGCTAAAAAAAAAAAAACATTCAATTAACTATTACAACTCTTTAAAAAAAATTCAACTTTCATTTTTTTTTTTTTTTTAAAGTTTATATGGATACTAATTTAATGGTAAAATAAAACTTTGTATTTTCAATTCTAAATCTCCGTATCTTTGTTTGTTTGTTTTTTTTTTTTTTTTTTTTTTTTTTTTTAACAATACTCCGTATCTAAATCCCTAACATTCATCATCATCATCCACAGTCTATGACATCCCATAATAATAACTTTTTCCATGAACTAGGACCACCAAAACTGACAAAAAATTCAAAGAATTTGTTTGTAGGTTTATAGGTTTCAAACTTTCAATACATTATTCACAAAAGCACTGTATATTATTCCTATTTATACTTCATAGTTTCAAGGGTTCAGTTACCCACAGTGGCGGACCCATAAAATCATTTGAGTGAGGGCGAATATTAAATGACGTTAGAAATGTCAATGACAAAATATCAAACAATCATAATAAGTTTAAAATACAAAATACATTATAAATTACAATATATTTACGAGAAAATATGAAACATAATCAATTAGATAAAATAATTTGAATAACAATATATTGATAAATACTTTTAAATTTTAATTTCTTTTAGTTAGATCGATTTTTCTAAATTAATTCGAATACAATAAAGTATATTATAAACTTGTATACTACATTAATTAAATAATTTATAAAAACTAGACTAAAAGACCATTTAATTTGTTAATTAAAGAGTAAATACCCAAAATGATCCCTTGACTATAGCTAAATTCACAATTTAGTCCTCAACTATTAATTTCAACCAATTTAGTCCTTAAGTTTCCAAATTTGACCCAATTTCGTCATCCATTAAATCCACCATTTACTAACCGTGAAATCTGAGGGCAGAGTAGTAATCTCACCTCCTTCCCGCCTTTGCACTCCATCTGTTTACACTATCCCGCCAAAATTTCATTTGTTCTCTGTAAATCTCTTTGCGGTGTTAGCTGACTCTTAGTTGAATTTGTTGAGAAACCTCAAAGATTAGAAGAGAAGCAGTGTGTATTCCATTGAAGAAGATGAAGAGAGTTCATGTGTCTACAAGCTGAAAGAAGAAAGTGAATCTACTGACTAGTCTACAGCTTTACATTTCATAGGCTATATAGACAAGCCGTTATAACTGCCAAGGGAAAGGGAAAAGACCAATAGGTCCCTGACTTATTATTAAGCTAAGAAAGAAAGCAAAGCAGAGAAGAGCTGAGCTGAGCTGGACTGGACAGCTGCAAGTTGCTGCATTATTTGAGATGTTTGAGAGAGGATTAAAGATGATTGAGCTGTGTATTACTTCATCACCCCCCGTAAGCTGGAGCATGAAGGTCTTGAAGGCCCAGCTTATCATGGAACTTGTCAAACAAAGGCTTAGGCAAGGCTTTTGTAAATCCATCTGCAGTCTGATTTTGGGAAGAACCAGCAAGAAGTTTGACAACTCCTTCATTGATCTTTTGTCTAACCACATGGCAATCAATCTCAATGTGTTTAGTGCGTTCATGGAAGACAAAATTCTCACCAATAGCAATGGCAGAGTTGTTATCACAATACAAAGTTACTGGAGTAGAGAATGTTGTCTTCAAGTCTGCTAACAGAAATAACAACCACTGTACTTCACAAGTTGTGGATGCTAGGGCCCTGTACTCTGCCTCAGAAGATGATCTAGAGATTGTAGCTTGCTTCTTGGTCTTTCATGAAATCAAAGAATTGCCAAGATAAATACAATATCCTGTCACAGATTTCCTACTATCCACACAGGTTGCCCAGTCTGAGTCTGAAAATCCTTGCAACTTCATAAGAGAATTAGAAGAGTAAAACAAGCCTTTTCCAGGTGCCCCTTTGAGGTACCTTAACACCCTATGAGCTGCTACCATATGAATGTTTCTTGGTTTCTCTACAAACTGACTCAGCTGCTGGACTGCATAAGAGATGTCAGGTCTAGTATTGGTTAGGTACAAGAGTTTCCCAACTAACCTTCTGAAAACTTCAGGTTGTGTGATGGGAATCCCATCAGAATTGTTCAGTTTCTGTCCTGTGACAGCAGGAGTCCTAGCTGGCTTGGCTTCCAAAAAACCATGTTCTTTTAGGATCTCCAAAGCATATTTCCTTTGGCAAATGTTAATTCCAGCATCAGTTCTAAAGGCCTCAATGCCTAAGAAATAATTCAAGTTGCCCAAGTCTTTGATCTTAAAATCTTTATCCAATGACTGCTTCAATTCATTTATTTGAACAGAATCATTTCTTGCCAAAAGGATATCATCAACATACACTAACAAGGCAATGAAGGATGTTCCTGTTTGTCTAGTAAATAAAGAGGGGTCTGCAGAAGATTGTTGGAAGCCATACACTTGTAAAGCTTTAGTCAACTTGGCATTCCATTGCCTACTTGCCTGTTTAAGGCCATACAGGGATCTCATAAGCTTGCAAACCTGATTTGGTTTTCCATCCTTAAAACCAGGAGGTAATACCATGTAGACTTCCTCCTCTAAGTCACCATGCAAAAAGGCATTGTTGATGTCAAGTTGCTGGATGTTCCATCCCTTAATAGCAGCCACAGCCAAGAAGGTTTTGATTGTGGTCATCCTAGCCACAGGTGAGAAAGTCTCAATGTAATCAACCCCTAATTGTTGAGTATAACCCTTTGCAACCAGCCTGGCCTTATACCTTTCTATGGAGCCATCTGCTCTATACTTCACTTTATACACCCATCTACAACCAATGGGGGTTTTACCAACTGGCAATTCTGTTAAGATCCAAGTCTTGTTCTGGTTCAAAGCATTTATCTCAGCTTCCATGGCTTGTCTCCATTCCAAATGTAATACTGCTTCTTGATAGGACTGTGGTTCTTTAGAGGAGGAAATAGCAGCTGCACACATTCTGTGATCAGGAGATAAATTTTGGTAAGAGATGAACTTCTCTAGAGAATGAGGAGAAGTTCTGGCAATAGTGATGTTGGATGTGGCAGTCTGACAAATATAGTCTTGTAACTTTGAGGGAACATTTCTTGTTCTTAAAGACCTCCTAGGTGGCTGTTGAGCAGTCTGATTGTCAGTGTTTCTCAAATCATTCTCAGAGCAAGAATGTGTGTCATAAGCATGACTAGGACCAATGGAATAGTCTCTGATCTGTGGAAGTTCCACATGAATGTCTGGTGTTTGCTGATGCTCTAGCTGGACTTCTGCAGATTGGTCATTCAACAAAGTATCCCTGACCATTCCACTCTCATCATGTTTTCCAGCCTGGTCCAATGTACCAAAGTTTGCTTCAATATATGTTGGGACCAAAGGGAGAGAAGGTCCAAGGCTTTCTGGTGTAGCATTGTCAGAACCAGTCTCTAAGTATTCTTCTTTGAAAGGAAAAATGTGCTCATGAAAAGTCACATTTCTGGAAATAAAAACAACTCTGTCAGTCATATCAAACACCATATACCCTTTTATATTAGCAGGAAATCCCAAGAAAATGCATTTCTTGGCTCTTGTTTGCATCTTATTCCTCCCTTGTGAAATAGTAGCTGCAAAGCATAGGCATCCAAAGGATCTCAAGTGATTGTAATCAACATCTTTTCTGTACAACATCTGGAAAGGAGACTGGCCATCCAGAACTTCAGTGGGTAACCTGTTTATTAGATAAGATGCATGCAAAACACAATGACCCCAAAAATTGTCAACAAGACCAGATTGGAACTTCAAGGCCTTAGCTATATTCAAAATATGTTGATGATTCCTTTCCACTACCCCATTCTGCTGAGGGGTATGTACACATGATCTTTGATGGACAATCCCTTTTTCATTATAGAAAGTTTGCATCATAAACTCAATCCCATTATCAGTTCTGACAGTCTTAATTTTGGCATCAAAGTGAGTGAGAACATAATTATAGAAGTTATGAAATGTGGATCTGGCCTCTGACTTATATTTCATTAAGTGTAGCCAAGTATATCTGCTATGATCATCAACAATTGTTAAGAAATAATGTTCTCCATAAAGAGAAGCCACAGAAAAAGGACCCCAAATGTCCATATGGATTAGATAAAAACATTTCTCAGATTTATTATTGCTAAGAGAGAAAGGAGATTTCTTATGTTTGGCAAAATGACATGTGTCACAAGCAGAACCAGAGGCAGTACATGGTGAGATTTTCACTCCTTTCAACATTTGTATCTTATTCATTGGGTAATGACCCAGCCTATTGTGCCATATCTCAGCAGAAAGACTACTACAAGTCATTACATTGGAGTTATTAGCAAACTGAACAGAATGGACCTTCTTCCTGACAGGAGGGTTGGAGAGCAGATATAATCCTCCTTTCTCTTTAGCAAAACCATCCACCCTCCCAAGATGGCCCTGAACATCACAGCAATCAGCCCCAATAATAATCTTATATCCTGATTCTCTTACCAGCTTGCTAGCAGAAACAATATTAAAGGAAAAAGATGGAATAAACAACACATTTTTCAACATCATATCCATGTGAAGTTTAATATTCCCAATGTGAGTAACACCAACTGTCTCCCCATTAGGCAGCCTTACTGATACTCCATGAACAACATAATAAGATTCAAAGTAGTCCAAAGAACTAGTGATATGACCAGTTGCACCAGAATCTAAAATCCAAACATCAAGAGAATTTAACACAGTATTGACATGAGGATTAAAAATGAACTTGCCTTCATTATGTTTCTCTGCAATCTTCATGGAATCTGAGTTGATTCCAGTGTTAGACACTGTCACAACATTATTAGATGAATGACCCCCTTGGCTTTGGCTCTGCAACAAACTCACAAGCCTTTGAAACTGTTCAGCAGTGAGGCCTACATCTCCAACTTGGTTCACAGAAGCAGGCTGAGTCTCTTGAGCTTGTTTATCCTTAGATTTATAACCTGGAATCCACCCTGGTGGGAAACCATGCTTCTTGTAACACTTCTCAATCGTGTGTCCTAATTTCCCACAGAACACACACTTAGGAACATTCTTCCCAGAATTATTGCTGAACTTCTTTTTGTTAAAGGAAGTTGCAACAGCCACAGTGGATTGGTCATCTGAGTTCTGTACAGTTATGTTCTGCATAGCATTAGATTGAATCAAATCGGGATTCTTCATGATGCCAGAGTTTCTAAGCTTCCTTTCCATCTTGAGGGCCATATTAAGGACCTTCTCCATAGCAGGGATAGGATCCATAACCAAAACTCCGGACTTAATGTTCTCATACTCTTCATTAAGTCCTTCCAGGAAATGAATAATCTGATCTTCCTGTTTTTCCTTCTGAATCTTGGTAATGAGTGTGCATGAGCACCTCGGCACACACTCACATTAAGGGATTGGTCTCATAGCGTTCATCTGGACCCATAGCGCATTAGATTTAGTGAAATATTCATTAATCGAAAGGTTACCTTGAGTGCTTCTGTAGATCTCATTTTGCAGTTCCGCAATTCTGTGAGCATCGACCTGAGAGTATCTTTTCTTAAGAACACTCCAGATTTCAGCCGCAACTTCGAAATACAGCACTCCCTCTGCAATCGTAGGGCTAAGGGACTTGAAGATCCAGGAGCATACAATATTGTTGCATCTCCTCCAGATCGGAAATCTCGGATCGGACTCTGCAGGACTTGCTATGCTTCCGTCAACGAATCCGTATTTATTTTTAACTTCGAGAGCAATTCTCATCGATCTACTCCACGTTGCATAATTGACTTCTGACAAAGGAGGAGAGGCGAGCACGAGGTTAGGATTTTCCGTCACATGCAAGTACATAGGGTCGTGAAACTCATCCACGAGCTGAACAGGGCTAGAGTTCATCGGAATGCGATCGGATGACGTAGCTTGCTCGCCACCTTTTTCATCACCGGTTTCAGTCTCCGCCGTAATCACCGCGGCGTAGCTCCGGTGACGCTCTGATACCATGTTGAGAAACCTCAAAGATTAGAAGAGAAGCAGTGTGTATTCCATTGAAGAAGATGAAGAGAGTTCATGAGTTCATGTGTCTACAAGCTGAAAGAAGAAAGTGAATCTACTGACTAGTCTACAGCTTTACATTTCATAGGCTATATAGACAAGCCGTTATAACTGCCAAGGGAAAGGGAAAAGACCAATAGGTCCCTGACTTATTATTAAGCTAAGAAAGAAAGCAAAGCAGAGAAGAGCTGAGCTGAGCTGGACTGGACAGCTGCAAGTTGCTGCATTATTTGAGATGTTTGAGAGAGGATTAAAGATGATTGAGCTGTGTATTACTTCATCAGAATTCGACATATCTTGGTGTACATGGCGTGGCTAGGAGCGCAAGGTCGTACTAGTCATGGAAGCAGTTCACTAGGTACATTTTTCTATGCGTATTAATAGTCGAAATTTAGACTTTGAGTTGTCTGTACACTAGGATTTTATTTACGGTGACCATGAATGGTGGTAGGGAACTATGGGGACCAGTGGGTAGTGTTAAGTTATTGATGTATATCTTGTTTATACCTGTTGATTTATTGTTTCAAACAAAATATTTGTTGATTTATTATGTGAAAAGTTTGCTTTAAGCATGGGGGTCCACGAATGTTTGTTGTATACTATGAAATCCAGAGTGAAGTCATTTTCAAACAATTAAGCATGGGACCATGCACTTGCTTTGTTTACCTTTTAGGTAGTGTGTATAGTTTAGTGGATTATTAAACTGTGTAGTACATTAGTTTACTTAAATTTACTTGTCATTCCAGCTGTTTTTAATTGGCTTTTAGTGCATTATTAAACTGCTTTACTTGACTGTTAGTGGAGGGAATTATTTAAGTGCTTTGTTTGACCCCATGTTTGCTTATTTTTTCTGCTTTACTTGATTGTTAGGGTGCAAATTCTGTCTGAAGTTAAGATATGGGGGCAGAATAGACCAAAGTAACCCACCTAGATATCTGGATGGTAGAGTTAAAAGCTTTGTTGAATTGAATTCAGATGAGTGGGGCATGATGACATTAAAGGACAAGGTTTATGAAGTAGGGTATAAGAAGGAAGACAACACTAGTAGAATTGCTAACAGATGATGATGCTTGGAGATTACTAAACTATGATGTGAGACTGAGACCAAAGTTAGTTGAGATATGGGATCAGTGGAGATGAGGATGATTCTGATTGGGAAAAAGGGGTATTCTGCAGATGAGTTAGATAATGAGTATGAGAATGAGGAAAATGGAGTTGATGACTTAGAGTTTATGGAGGTGCGTAGCTTCAACGATTCACCACAATGACAACGCATATTCGACATTACTTCACCGTGTTGAAACATTGAGTGGTTGCTTGAGGAACCATAACTGTCTTCCCTGTACTTAGGATGCATCTCGTTGAAGAAGACGACGGTGAAGAGAGAATGTGAAATTAGGGTTGTGAAGATAATGAATAGCAATAAGGGGTTTTCTACCGCTTATAACGACCAGGTGAAGGGAGAAATTGCAGGAAGGAGGTGAGATTACTACTCTGCCCTCAGATTTCACGGTTAGTAAACGGTGGATTTAATGGAGAACGAAATTGGGTCAAATTTGGAAACTTAAGGACTAAATTCGTTGAAATTAATAGTTGAGGACTAAATTGTGAATTTAGCTATAGTCGATGGACCATTTTGGGTATTTACTCTTAATTAAATGATTCATAAAAAGTAGACTACAAATATTTAATTTATCTTGTGAAGAAATGAAAAAGAGAAGATAATTAAAAGTGTTACTAATGAGATTTGAACCCATGACATAAACCTTTTAAAACTTAAAATATAAAATTCAACCAACTAAGCTACTTAAACTATTAACATTTTCAACATAAATATATATTTTATATAACATTTCATGCTATATATGTATACATATACATACATACTAGTTTTTTACGCGCATTGCGCGATTGAGATAATGCACAATGTTTTTTTTTTTTTTTAAATAAGTCCTTGAAAGTATATCAAGGCAAGATTATATTGGAATTGTTCATGCATAGATAATTGAATGTTAAATTTGCGTATTTAAATAGGCAATTCTAAGTTTACAAATGCAAGATAATATAGTCAAGATTGATTATAATTGTCAATAAAATATTTGTATAGGTATGGTTGAAACCAAATACAGGACATAAGGGAGAGCAAATAAAAATTAGGGCATAAAATATTAAATATATATACTAATATTGAAGAGCTAACTGCTGATTGCCAACAAGGACATTGCGAGATAGTTTCCCACTTCAATTTGTTGCGTGATTTGAATACTCTTTTTGTCAATAAATCCCCCAAGTAGTTAATATGATTGGCTTAATTATATATTTTTATTTTTTTAAAACAATTATTATTATTATTATTATTATTATTATTATTATTATTATTATTATTATTATTATTATTAAATATATGTATACTCTTAAGTCATTTTACATGTTAATCTAAACAGTTAATTTTTTCAAATATTTTTTTACCAAACATTGATATAATTCGCTTGTCAAATCCGCTAATATAATCCAAGCGCTAACCGCTAACTCTTGATTGTTAAACAAGGACATTGCGAGATAGTTCTCACTTCAATTTGTTGTGTGATTTGAATACTCTCTTTGTTAACAAATCTCTCAATTAAGTAGTTAATATGATTGACTTTATTAATTATATATTTTTTAATTTTTTTCATGGTATTAATAAAATATTTTGTAAATAAATATATGACATTATTTTGTATTATAACTTTGATATTTAATTAAAAAATAGTGCACAAAAAAAATAATAGACAATGTAGTGAATATAATCAATTGATGAATTTGAATGTAAAGAATTTTACATTGGAGAAATATAAAGACAATATAACTAATAAAATTATTTCTCTTAATTAATTTATTGATAATGAATTTTTTTTTTTAATAAAGACATTGTAGGGACAATGTAGCGAATATAGTCAAGTGATGAATTTGAATGTAACTAATTTTTATATTGGAGAAAAATAAAGACAATATAACTAATGAAATTATTTCTCTTATTTAATTTATTGATAATGAATATTTTTTTTTTTAATTTTTCGAATAAAGACATTGTAGACACATAATTCTAAAATAAAGAAATGCATATGTATTATTTTTTGTTGTAGCTACTAAATTACTATTTAATAATTTAATAAGAGTAAAATAGATTACTAATTATGCCAACTTTGATTGAGATGGGGTTCGAACCTAAGACCTTTCTTATTGAAATCAATGAGTAAGTTAACGGTGAACTAACAGAAACTAACGGAAAAGATAATATTTAACGGAAAAGTTAACGGATAATCATATTCATTAAGGATAAATTAGGAAATCTCAAGGAAAAATTAAAATCTGATCAATCTGAGCCATTCATTTGATTAAAAAATTTGACCGCCATTTTTTCTACCCATTATAGGCCTAACTCTCTTGGGCTCTTATTAGTATAGTAGATAGTAGATATATAAAGAGGTGGGGTGGGGGGAGTGGGGGCAGCTGCCCCCACACTAGGTCCGCCTATGGTTACCCATAATAACATTAAACATTATACCTATATTTGATATTTGATTTGACAAAAGAAAATTTAATTGATCACCTTATTTGCTGAAAGACATTTGACACTGACGGTCACTGTCTGTTGTCCTTGGCTTTTTTGTTTGTCACTGATTTATAGCTTGTTTCAACTTTGAAAAAATAAGTGTTAGTAAACAAGTTCTCTAAACAAAAAACAGAGAATATAACAGAGAATGAAAACTAAAAAATTAGAAAACAGAAAACAAGAACAATTTTTTGTTAGTAAACGGTTTTTTTTTTTTTTTTTTTTGTGGGGTCCACAGAATGGGATGAGGAGAGAAAACTGGCGTTGATTTTGCGCATGAAAGGAACTGATGTGTCCAGCTGGTCGCGTAAATGGCAGTTTATTTATTTATTTGTCGATTTTTTTTTATTTATTTTTTTTTTCCTTTTCCTCCTCTTTTCTCTTCTCTCTTCCTTGTCCCTCCTATTTGGCCTGGAAAACACTTAAACAAGATCTCTACAATTGAGGTTGCTCTATGGATGTATTCACTTTAGAATTATTTTGACTTTTGTAACCTTTTTAAAATAGAAAGGATTGTAATAAAAGTTAATTAAATTCTAGGAATGTTTTTTATGTAGAATTTTATACTCTAAAGTGTACAAAAGTTTAGAATAACTTTATGAAAGTGAATAAAAATTTATTAAAATCTATTATTTTAAGAGTAAGTGCACAAAAGTCTTGATTGAATACACCCCAAATAGCAATCGTATGTGAAATTCTATTTGCACTACCCTTTTTTCTATTTACACCACCCATTTAATAGGTGTAATAGCTTTATAGGTGATACAAATATAAAAGTGCTATTTGCAAATAAAAATTCAAATTTCAAATTGTTGGACATCAATAATTGGTGTAGGATCTTTGCTTAATGTAGTAAATTCATCTTTAGTCATGTTCATAACATCTTTTATAATCTCATTCATGGCAATGGTTCTTAACGGGTTATAAACAGGTTTGTGGAAACGGGTTCGTGTTAACGGGTTAATACGATAATAACAACGGATTAAATGAGTTCTTAACAGGTTTAACGGGTTGACCCGTTAAGGTACGAAACAAAATGGGTCCTTAACGAATCGATCCGTTAACGACGCGGGACCCGTTAAGGCTAAATACTAACCCGTTATTTTCGTGTCCGATTTCGTGTTGTGTTAACCTATCGTGTCCATAATTACCAGATCGACCACTTTTTGAGTAAAGGGTGGTGCAAATACCATTACGTAATTGCATTTACTTTTGGGAAAATGACACTTTTTCCTCCTAAGTTATATACTTATAGCATTTTTTCCCCCTCAATTATTTATGTAAGCACATTTGCCTCCCTCAATTATTTTAAAAGTGGTAATTTTTCCCACTGATATATTAAATTGACATTTCTACCATTAAAGTAAACATTTTATTTATTTTATTTCTCCAACAAATTATTGTGTATATGTAGCAATGATCACGGTTTGGTTCGAACTAAACCGGACACTATAGCAATCGAATTAAAAGTTTTCGGTTATGATTAAGATCTAGAACCCAATATTTGAATTTCAATTTATTAAATTTATGAACCAAAAAAACTGGATCATGAACCGTGAACCGGCGGTTCCGGATCAGGTTCGCGATGTTGAACCGTCTTTATTTTAAAATTTTATTTTATTTATTTATTTTAAAATAGTCTAAATTCAACAATAAATGTATTTTATTTTTTCAGTTCGGAACATGAACCGGCCATTCCGGTTTGCGATTTAAATAAACTCTAAATATCGCATTTTGATTCTAAATTGTAATTAAAATATTTTGGTTTGGTTGCTATAGTATCTGTTTGGTTTGAACCAAATTATAGTAATAATTTGTTGGACAATGAAATATTTATTTTAAAGGTAAATATGTCCATTTAACATTTTAAGAAAAAAAAAGAGACACTTAAATAATTTAGGGAGAAAAAGTACTATAAGTATATAACTCAAGGAGAAAAAGTGATATTTTCCCTTTACTTCTTCTTATTAAACCCTTGTTCTTCTTCTTCTGGATTTTATAGAGAACAAACAAAGTCGATTCGGACTTTTTCACTCTGGGAAATCCATGAGTCTAATCGCGGGATCATACGAGCATTACATATGGGGGTTCAAACTGAAATTCAAAAATTATGAACATAAAGTTGTGAACATAATTATGAACATATTGTTTTGTAATTATGAATATAGAGATTCAATAATTGTGAATATGAAGTTAACAAATTATGAATATATAGCTTTATAATTATGAACATATAGTTCAATAATTATTAACATAAAGTTCTGTAATTGTGAATATAGAGTTCAATAATTATGAATATGAAATTAAAAAATTATGAATATATAGCTTTGTAATTATGAACATATAGTTCAGTAATTATGAACATAGAACTGTGTCCACATTGCAAGGTGGACACAGTTCCACGGCATAACGATTGAATAAAGTGGCGTACATACTTTTCATTCACAATAATGAAATCATTGATTTTTTTTTTAAAAATTTTCATTCGTTGTTGACACAAATTGTTTTGAGAGTTTGTCAATGACAATTGCTGTCAATAGATGATGATAATAAATAATTCAAAATATAAGGTTACAATAGATATTGTTATAATAATATAGTAAAAATTAACTTGCAAATTTCTTTAGAAGTTTTCATACATTGATAAAAGCATAATTGAAATATTAAGTTTTGTTCTTAATAATCAAAAGAAGATTAATTAAACGAAAAAAAAAAAAAAACTGAACTTAAATTTATTATTTTTAATGAAATAAAATCAAATGATTATCAAAGTTCCTGATTTATAATCATTGAATGCTATGTATTTAGTCGGGCTAATTATTTGACCAAAGTTTATGTTAAATTTTATATTTTATTTTTTAATACATTTTAACATATTCGTAGTATATGTTTAACAATTATGCTAATTCTAATTGAAATGAGGTTCGAACCTAAGACCTTTCTTATAGAAATTAATGAGTAAGTTAAGAATAATAAATAATTAACGGAATATTCCGTTAATAAAGTTTATACTAACGGAATTTAAAGTTATTTAAGGAAAGAAAATAATATAATAAAGGGTAAATAAGAAAATTCATTAAAAATACTAAAATCAAAATACTATGAACCATTCATTTTAAGAAACAAGTAGTAGATACATTTTTTTTATTTCAGTTAAGGGCTTAACATTATTGGCTCTTATTATAATTGTAGATTGTAGATGTAGACATGAACCATTAGACCAATCCAATATTGCCAGCCCAAGCCCATACATGATATACCATAACCCAATCCAAAATCTAATTATATAAGGAGTATTTATATTCCCTACCCTAAAATCCTTTTTTTTTTTTTTTTCTTTGAAACCACCCTACCTTAAAACCCTAAATCCCTAATCAGATAGTCTATTCTGGGCTTCTGCTTCTCCTACGCCCTCTCCTCCTCTCGGCTCTCACCTCACCTCAGCCTCACCGGCTCGCCGCCAGTCAGTCATCTACTGACTACTGCTCTCCGCGTGAGTAAGCCATCTCACCTCAGCCTCACGGTCCTCACTTAAGTATGTTTAATTAAGTATTTAATTAGTCTTTATCAAGCATAAAATAGTTTAGAGAAGGCATAGATGTTTGCATTGTTGTTGTTGTTGTTATTGTTAAGTTTTAAAACCAATTTGCATGTGAACTAACAGTCAATTACTTAACTTTTTAGGGTCAGATTATATAATTTATTTAATTATTTAATTAGATAATATAATTAACCTCTTTTAAAAAACAATATAATTAACCGGTGTGTTATACTGTAGTGCATTAATTCTGTTGTATTATATTGTTTGTGACACCGCGTTCTTCCAGGGCTCCAGGCAGTGTGATTAACACTTTGACTTTTTTTCTTTTTGGCACTGGCTGGTTCCAGGTAGTGTGTTTAACACTTTGTACTGTTATTACTATTTACTAATATACAATGTTAAGACTTGGCAGTTTGGCATTGACATTGTGAATTTGACTTTGTAAGTTTGTAGTATTTGGATTTGTATTAGTATATTAGTATTTGTTTGTGACTTTGGCAGTTTGCGTGTGATTTGGTATTTGGTACTTGCATTTTTCATGTCAATGTTCGGTTTTTTGGTAACTGATATAACTGACCGGTCAATTTTTTTGATCGGTTATAAGTTATAAAGTTTCCAAAAGTTTAGAATGATTCCATGAAAGTTAATAAAAATTTATTAAAATCTATAATTTTAAAAGTTTTGAAGAGTATACAAAGGCAATTTCATAATTGCATTTATTTTTTCTTATTAAACCCTTCTCTTCCTCTTCTTCAGGGTTTTGTAGAGAACAAACAAGAGGACTTCTTCATTCGAATCTGGAAAATCCATGAGTTTAATCGCCGGTTCGTACGAGCGTTTCATATGGGGATTCAAACTGAAATCTCCGAAGGACCTTCAAAGCTTTGATCTAATTCCCCTCTTCTCCTTCCCTTCCCACCTCTCCACCATCAAATGTGCCGACGTTTCCGGCTCCGCTGCCGTCTCTGGTGGCTCCGATGACACCATTAAAATCTACGACCTCTCCACTTGCTCCGAAATCGGCTCCCTCCACGAATCTGCCACCATCAATTCCCTCGCATTCTACACCCCTCCGTCCCTCTCTTTCCCGCGCAACCTTATATCCGCTGCTGACGACGGCTCAGTCTCCATCTACGACACCGATCCCTTTGTTCACCTCAAAACTGTGAAGGTTCACCGAAAAGGCATCAATTCCCTTTCTATCCACCCCTCAGGGGGGCTGGTGTGCTCGGTGGGCCGAGATGAATGTTTAGCTATGGTTGATTTGGAGAGAGGGAGGAGGAGTTTTTACTACAGCTTGGGCAAAGAAGTCTCTATCCTGAAATTTAACGAAACTGGCAAAACATTATACATGGTTATGGATGAAAAAGTTTCAGTCCTCGAGCTTGGGTACTGTCCAAGAACAGTTTTGGAATTTAATAATGCGAAGCGAGTTCTCTGTGCTGCCCCAGGAGAGGTGATTTCTGCACTGTGTTCTTCATATCATATCTATGAATTTTAATGTCCTGCTTTTATATTTATAACATATGTGTGAGTGTAAAGCTTCGGTCTTTAGCTTGCTTTGAATTTCATATAAACAATTTTATGGCTACTTGCTGAATTTCATTCTGTTCTAAGAACATACTGCTTGTATGATTGGAAGTTGCAGATTTCGAAAAAAGTGAGTTATGGAGGTGTTTGGAAATTCCTATTACAATGTTGCATATGCTGTAAAATCCATGTAACTGAGTTGAAAATTCTTGTCATTTATTAGCAAATACTAGTTGTGTATTTTAAGGTTCTGTTTAAAGTTAAAACCAGATTGTTAAGCTATTCCTCTCCTTTATTATTGTCTCATGTTATTTGAATATGTTCTGAAACTGAAGTGATATTTTGCAGGGTGGTATATTGTTTACTGGAGGAGAGGACAGGAATATTACGGCATGGGATACAAAAAGTGGAAAAGTGGCACACAGGATTGATGATGCACATTCAGCCCGTGTTAAAGGCATTGTTGTTCTCTCCAACAATGATGGAGAGTATCCATATTTAGTAGCATCTGCATCATCAGATGGCAACATATGTGTATGGGATGTTCGCATGGGGATGGGAGGGAAAGAGAAACCAAATCCACTGGCAATGGCCAATACAAAATCCAGGCTGACTTGTCTAGCTGGATCATCCATCAAATGTGAGTGAGTTTATATAGGAATTACTTTGTATTAACAATACAAATCACATGGATTCTTGTCTTCTTACTTTGACTTGTGATAGTGCAAGAAGCTGCTGCTTTAAGTTATTGTTTAGAGGGTTTTTATGAATTTTGTAGTGTTATTGCTACAACTTTCTACCATTTCCTATTTGTTTATTATGGCTGTTGCTTATCCTTTACCATTGACAGTCCTCTTCACTGATCTGATGGCTTGATGACATTGATCTCTCTATTCCATAGTTATCTAAGCGGGCAATTACAATAGTGGATTATCATATCATATCTAGATAGTCTATTCAAAAGTGTAATACATAGAGGTGTGAAGCATATATATATATAGGATTGCAGTAATTTTTTTGTCATAAATTGTTATAGCTTCATTTCTTACAATATTCCCTCTCCTTTTGCTTCTGAGATGGGAAATTCTGCTTCAAATGATCAAGAAGACGGAGCAGCAGATTGATACTCACACCACCATTTGCTGAGAATGCTTGATTGAATTGCACAATCTTCTCTTTCCCTCCCTTCTATGATGCATTTTGGGGTAAGCTGTATTGCCGCAGAAGTAGACCAACTCAAGGAACACTAAATTTGGAAAGAGAAATTGGTGGAATCTTATTTTTAACATAATTCTATATTCCTTTTTTTTTTTAATAAAATAGTTTAGTTAGACTAGAACTTATAGATAATTAATTAGCTTAGTCTCTTAGATATTGTAATTAGCTTATTATAGATATTAGTTTAGTCTCAGTCATATAAATAATTTTTAAGTTACTGCAACATGTTCATTAAGTTAGTACTATAAGTCAATATTACATAATTATTGAAACAATGTACTAAAAATATAAATTAATATGGTGTCATTTAAATGTATTGAACGGTTGATGAACAAGTATTGGTGGGAATCAAATGGTAATCGAGGTGGGGGAATAAGGTGGATGGCTTGGAACAGAATGTGTGGTCCAAAGTCCGAAGGAGGCCTCGGTTTTAAGAGTTTGAGCCGCTTTAATGTGGCCTTGCTTGCGAAACAAGGCTGGATATTATTAACAAATCTATCCTCTTTAGCTGCCCGGTTGTACAAGGCGAGATATTTCCCTCATGTTGATTTTCTTGATGCAAAGATTGGGGCCAACCCCCAGTTATTGTTGGCGCTCAATTTTAGCCGGGCAAGAAGTGTTGCGTCGGGCTGCTTTCGAAGAATAGGTGATGGGCGAAACACTTGTATTTGGAACCAACCTTGGCTCCCGGATGAAGGAGATCCTTTCATTCACACGCACGATCAGAATATGAAGGTTAGTTCACCTCCTACACCCTGACACACAAGATTGGAATCTTGGTCTGCTAAATGATATGTTTCTTTCCCGGGATGTTGGTCTTATTATTAAAACTCCTGTGGCTAAGGATTTTGATGATAAATGGTGTTGGCGTGGTGATATACGTGGTTCGTACTCCGTAAAGCTTGGTTTCCAGGCTCTTACTGACTTGCAGGGCCATGGACAAAATGTGAATGAACAATGGAAGTTTATTTGGCAACTAAAGGTACCACCATCTGTCAAATATTTTTTATGGAGATGTATGCACCAAATTATCCCAACTTTAACTACTCTTTTTTCTCGACGAGTTGAAGTGGATGTAATGTGTCCTCTTTGTCTTCAGCAGCCAGAAACATTAAATCATCTAATACGTGAATGTGCTTATGTCATCCCCTTGTGGCAGGAGTTGCATGTTGCTCTTCTCCCCAATGATGAATTAGATTTTGGTGCATGGTTGCGTGGAATTATAATGCAAGGTGATGAGATTAGTAGACTGCATATTATTTCTCTTTGCTGGATCATTTGGCGTTGGAGGAATGAGGTGGTGTGGAGTCATATAGAATGGAATCACATGGCAATTAAATTGGAGGTGCAGCGTACTGTTGGTGCATGGCAGCAATTGAATCAAATGTCTCATACTGGTACCACTCACCCCTCCCCCTCCCCCTCCCCCCTGATGTGGTTAAAGTTTATGTTGACACAGCAGTTTATCCGGATTCTAATCAAGCATTTTTTGGATGTGTGGTTAGGGATAGCAATGATAATTTTTTGGTAGCAAGTAATGGCCCGGTTTGGTGTCTTAATGATGCTTATCTAGCAGAAGCCGTGGCGGTCAAAGAAGCCCTCTCGTGGGTTAAGGAACGAGGCTATGCAAAGGTTATGATCCTATTAGATTGTCAGACAGTGTGCCGACTACTTAATTGTTCTGAGATCGATCGTTCATACGCAGGCTGTGTGATTAGTGAGTGCAAGGCGTTACGATGACACTTTGAAATAGTGTCTTTTAAGTTTGTCCCAAGATCAGTGAATCAGTGTGCTCATGCTTTGGCTAGAGCTACTCGTTCTCAAACTGGTCCTAGTTGGATTTTGAATATTCCTAATTGTATTGCCCATTTGATTTAATAAAGTATTGCTTTTGGTTTTCAAAACAAAAAAAAATCTCAATATATTTTTAACAATATAATTTTTGTACATTGATTTTATTTATATAAACAAAATATAAAAGAATATATTGAAGTGATAATTAGTCAGTTTATGCCACTTTAATGAACCTATAGTATCATTACAATAAACTTGCACTCATATTTGATATATTTAAAATTTTAATTAACCTACAATATATTATTATAACCAACATGATGCTATGAAACAAAAAGAAATGTGAATATCCAAGTTGAGTATCAAACTGCCGACCTCTTGTGTAAACAATAAGGCTCTTTCCGTCAAGCTAATTCAACTACAAGTGGTATAAACTGTAAAGATCAACTAAGGGTGTGTTTGGTTCGCACATAGGAATCGGAATCGGAACCGGAATGGGTATCAAATACTTGGTAAATGGTAATGGGTTTTGGTGAAAGTATTTAACATGTTTGGTAATAGGGTGGAATGTGAATAATTACTAATAGTAGTGCTTGAGAATGAATAAGGGAATGAAACCCTTATTTTATTTGGGTATGGGGTTTTCAATTGATAGGGTATTTGAAACCCATAGTAGTGTTCTAAAAACCTATCAACCAAACAACAACAATCACTTTCATACCCATTCATATGGACAAAACCCACCAACTAAACACACCCTAAGTTTTATCATATGGTATGGCAGTTCACAGATTCCAAAAGGATGACTACAAGTTCCAACGAGATCTAACTCATGGCGATGGGAGTCTTACACGCATCCTCAATATACGATGGAGCTTCATTGTCATCCAATCTACCAGTTAGACTAGCTTTGATACTTGAACAACCTATGCAAATTATATATTTATTATTTATTTCAAACCTGGTACTATAAATACTCCTCAGCCCTCACTCTCTGTAATATATGCGATTGAATATATAAAGAAATAAAGTTTGCCATCTTCCTCCTAACTCTATCCTGTTGTTCTTGTTCTCCCTATTATTATTAAATTCATAACACATGAGTATATGTTTTAATTTCAAACCTGGTACTATAAATACTCCTCCTCGATTGAATATATAAAAGAAATAAAATCTTCCCATCCAACACGTGGACCGATAAACCGTAGTCGTTTACGAGTGACGTTGAGATTCGAACCAATGACCTTTGGTCTGGTTCTGATACCAAATTGAAACATGTGCTCCATCTCAACTAAAAGCCTAAGCTGGTAGTTGGATACACATTAATGGATAAATACTATAAATGAATGATTTTTTATTTTGCTTCACCTAACCATATTTACCAAACAGATTTTTTTTTTTTTTTTTTTTTTTTCACTAAAGTGCCTATTTGTATAATCTAAAGATTCAAATCTCAAATCTCTAAGTTAATAATTAATATTTTTTTTTTCAAATACCAAAAAACTTTTTTGAACAAATTTTGTATGTGCTTATATATATATATATATATATATATATATATATATATATATATATATATATATATACACACAAAAAAAAATGTATGTTTAGATAATTAGATTTTAATTTTAATTTAGAAATTATAAAATAATTATCTCTAGATCAGTGAACACAGCTGCTCATGCTCTAGCTAGGGCTGCGCGTTCGCAATCTGATCTTGTTATTTGGCCTATTTCCTTACCGCATTGTATTGCACATTTGTTTTAATGAAAGTTGGTTATTTGGTTTTCAAAAAAAAAAAATATAATTTAATTTATATTTAATATATGTATTTTGTTATTATAACATTATTAAGTTACAGAATTTATAAAATATAGGGAAAATGGGTCAAATGCATCCTGCTTTATATGAAAAGTCAATTAGACCAATGAACTTCTAAAAATTACAATTAAACACACTAACATGTCATTTTTGTGCATCAAAACTAAAAAAAATCTGTTAGTGACCTGTAATATAGCAGGTCATTAAGTTTTGACAATGTTCTGGCTAACTTCGAGGACCAAAATCGACGATCCGCAATTGGAAAATGACCGTTAGTCGCCTTCGTCATTGACAAAATTGGTCCCTAAACTTAGGAAAACTAGCATGAGTTTTCCATAGCTAAACATCTCAAACCAAGAAGGCTAATAAACCGCTCCAATTAAGAATAGTCGAACTTATAATCTTGTGATTGTCACGTCAAAAACCTGACCAACTTAGGTGGGGTTGCCCTAGTATTCTTAGTATAATTGGTCTTAGCTTACAATTATTGAAAGTTAAAAAGTTTGATTCTATCAATGAACTAAATTTTTAAATACTAGACAAACTCCAATTAAACTACAAAATATATTTGGATAAAGTTGAGGGGGGAGTGGGGTGGGTTAACTCGTAGGCTAAATGGGTTGGCTACTTGGCTTGTGTAATTCGCAAGCTAGATTGGCTGGCCTGTCTTGACAGGGGTTGTCTGCAGGTTGGGCCAATTAAACTCGTAGTCATTTTGAATTCGGGCTTTTTTAAGAATTAGGACCATGAATGATTATTTTTTAAAACATAGAGGATCATTGAAGATCATTTAAAATTCAGATGATCAAAACTGATAAATCGCTAATACTCGGAAGACCATTGAAGGCATTAACTCTAAAATTTTATTATAATATTTAATCATTATTTTTTTCATACACTTCTATAATGATTTTTTATTTTTTTAAATTTCTCCCTTAATTCATCATATCATAATTGTTGCCGTGCATCGCACGGGTAAGACACTAGTTAATAATAATAATAATAATAATAATAATAATAATAATAATAATAATAATTAAGGTTCAAAATGAGTGAAAGTCCAATAAAAATATATAGTGGATACAAATATGTTTGGTTCAAACATAAGTTATTTTTCACATAGGTGAGAAGTCCAACCCAATAATAGGCAATTATTATGACAATGATAAAGGTAGCTCAACTTGCTTGGCAGTCATTTCCCGATCAAAGGACTTTCCTGAAGTTTCCACATTATTTAATTCTCAGATTCTTAGTACCACAATTTTTGGGTAACAGCCTAACAGGGTCTATTGATGTATATATATATATGCTTCATTTGTACGGCAAATTAAATTAAAAATATGGATTTGAGGTGTCTCATAAATATATTGTATTAATTGCTCATTCAATTCTGTTTTAAGTATAAAGTTTAAACTTAAACTTGTGAACCTACCAAGATTTTGTGGTCTAATGACACTCGGATTGGACTTCCATATGAAAGGTTGTGAGTTTGAGCTTTAATGGAGCCATTATATTGACTTTTTGTGCCTCAATAAATTGAGAAAATAGTTATGAACAGATACTATATTGTAATAGAGTCGATTAAAACGGGTTGATAAAAACTCTTTAGTGGGCCTAGGTTTTTCTGGCCCAACCTGCCTTGCCCCTGGCCCGCAAGCTAGGCGGGCCCCCGTCACACCACCTTTTATTTTAATTTTTTCTTATGTTTAAGCGTTTTTCGAAATACCCATGATTCTTTACAAGATATTATTTGTTCTAGGGTAACACTTATGTGAGACCGTCACACGGATCTCAATATGTGAGACGGGTCGAATCTTTGATTAATGAGTTCGATATTTAACCTCATTAATCAAAGACCCAACGCGTCTCACGGATTGAGATCCGTAAGAAGGTCTCACACAAGTTTTTGCATTTGTTTTATACTTTCTCAAATATTTTTAGCCCCAAGAATCTTACATCCAATTGTTACTTTGTTAAGTTTTACCATACAATTTGTACACTATAAAAAATAATTAAAATAACTTGTTCAATAACTAACATAAGGGATAAGACATAATTCATCAAACATTATATATGGTCGAGATCAAGTACGAAGGAGGTCCCAGGTGCGAACATGCGGTTAGATCTAACCCATTGGTCAAATCTATATCAACGGCTCAAATCAATGAAATTAAAAAAAAAAAAAACGTACGTCTGGAAGGAAGAAACACAAGCTAAAAATGGCACACCTTAAGTGTTAAAATGACACACCTTAAGTCTTAACATCGCACACTTTCAGTTTATAAAAATGGCGCACCTTAAGTGTTACAAGGACACACTATTAAGGGGGGTAACCCCAACCAAGATGGCAAGTGATCCACACTTGTAACCACAATGTCACGAGTTCGAATCCTTGCCTTCTTGGTTTGAGCCGGTCAGCTATAGGTAACCTAGGCTGGTAAACCCTCGAAAGGGTTGTGGGGGTTTCCCTCGTCATTAAAAAAAAAAAAAGGACGCACTATTAAGCTATGGAAAGACGCACCTAAAGCAAAAAAGGACGCACTATTAAGCTATGGAAAGACGCACCTAAAGTAAAAAAAGGACGCACTATTAAGCTATGGAAAGACGCACCTAAGGACGCACTATTAAGCTATGGAAAGACGCACCTAAAGCTTTATACTGACGCACCTTAAGAAAGAAAACCACACACCTAAAGCTTTAGACCGACGCACCTTAAGTTTCAACAAAAAATCTCAACTGACCGACGCACAAAAAATCTCAACTGACCGATGCACCTTAAGTTTCAACAAAAAATCTCAACTGAAGAAATGACGCACCTTAAGAAGGAAAACCATGCACCTTAAGTTTGACCTAGACGCAAAAAGACCAAATTGTCACCATGTTTTTTTTTTATCTGTGTTCAATCTGGACTGTCATTTTATGCGAGATCAACAGTTATCATTCAACCACATCTTTCACCTGAGCAGTGTGTGTGTGTGTGTGTCTATATATATATATATATATATATATATATATATATATATATATATATATATATATATATATATATATATATATATATATATATATATATATATATATAAAAGAGACCTTAGGTAAAAAAAAAAAAGGTTAAATCTTAGCCATTGATCTAGTCCAAATTAACAATTCAAATTGAATAAAAAAAAATACGGTGGTATTATGGTAATTTTGTGTCGGAGCAAAGGGTATCATTGGTTGAATTGTGTCGGAGCCCGCAGCTACCTAAA